TATTTCAGATACACAAACTTCAAAGTACTCAATAAAAACAAAATAGATTTTATAATTATGCAAGAAGAGAATCACAAACAGAGACAGAACAATCTCCTAATTTTCAAAACTCTTATATCCTGATGTTTTTTAACCTCTCATATAACCTCTTCCTATTGCCAAATATATTTAAAGAATAAAAAAATATGATACAATAAATTTCCTTTACCTCTATAATTGGCAAGGAACTATAGTTGTTTTCTTCTAGACTTGCAGAAAAACGCTGCTGGAGTCCAATATGCTCTGGTAACATATCTGACCTGATGCCGCTGTTCCGTCAGACCATCATACCCCGTCAGACCAACATACCTATAGCCAATACGCATGCACAAGACGTCAGATTTGCATTTATCCCTTTAGTTTTGAACGAAAAATAGACTTTAAACTACCTCAACGGGCTTGTATCCCTTTAGTCATGTACAAAAAAACAATTTAAGGTCAGATCGCCATACACTACAAAAGACACTGAAAAGCAAGTAATTAAATAGTTTTTTTGTACATGACTAAAGGGATAAACACCCATTTAGGGAGGTTAAAGTGTATTTTTCTTACTAAACTAAAGTTATAAACTAAGGGGACAAACGAGTATTGACTCTGGGTATGCTGGTCTGACAGAACACCAGTAATGTGGAATAAAATACTGCTCCACTCGTAGTAAAGGGCTCCCAGCTCTGTACTCATGGTGAGGCCCTCACAGGGGATTACATGGGACACGGCTGAAAACCTTCTCCATGCCCACTAATCACATTGGGACTGGTTGGACAAAGTCCACTGAAGCCTTGAGCTCTCAGCTGAGGGTGTGAAGCTGGTCCACTGATCTACGGCCAGGACAAAACCCCAGTGCTCCTCTTAAACTGAGTCTGGTAGTCAATCTCACACCAAGCATGCATTCAGCCACAGTGGAGAGGAAACTAACTTTTAACAGGAATAAAACTCCACCAGAAAGAAAACCATACATAGCGAGAGCAGCCTTTAGTAGAGGCTGACAGAGGGTACCCTTAAAAAAGGTTACAGTAAACTAACTCCATAGTTCATAGCTCTAGGAAAGATGGTTAAGCAGATGAGCTCTGAGCTAGTTTTTATATCCAAAGGGATAAAAGATCTCATCCTGGTGGTGACGATAAGAGTTGATGCCATAGCAAAGTCTAGGAAAGAAACAAAACGTCCGAAAAGCAAGTCCAACATAATATATAACTGAAGTTGATGATGGCAGCAGCTCAGCC